TTCCACACACTCCAGGAACCTCCTAGACTGCTTCCTCTCTGCCGTGTTGTATTTCCAGCAGACGTCCGGGAAGTTGAAGTCCCCCACGAGAACAAGGGCTAGCGATTGAGAGACTTCTGCCAGCCGCTTATAGAACGCTTCATCCGCCCCTTCGTCCTGGTTGGGTGGTCTATAACAGACTCCCAGGAGGATATCTGCCTCGTTGGCCTTCCCCCTCATCCTTACCCATAGACACTCAACCGTACCATCATCACAATCGTTGAGCTCTATACAGTCGAAACACTCCCTAACATACAGGGCCACCCCACTGCCTCTCCTTCCTCGCCTGTCCCTTCTGAAGAGTCTGTAGCCATCCATTGCAGCACTCCAGTCATGAGAGTCACTCCACCATGTTTCTGTGATGGCGACTAAGTCATATCTCTCCTGCTGCACAATGGCTTCCAGCTCCTCTTGTTTGCCGCCCATGCTGCGTGCATTGGTGTATATGCACTTGAGCTGGGCTATCGATTTCGCCCCCGGCATCGGCACGCCACCCCTAGGCTCATCTCTAGTGAGCCTGGTTTTATCCCCTTCCCTCTTCGAACCTAGTTTAAAGCCCTCTCAATGAGGGCCCAAACGAGCAATGATCCTTTTCCCCCTGTGAGACAGCTGGACTCCATCTGCCGCCAGCAGGCCCGGTGCCGTGTAAACCTCCCCATGATCAAAAAAGCCAAAATTCCTCCGATGGCACCAGCCCCTGAGCCACGTGTTGATCAGGTGTGTTTTCCTGTTCCTTTCAGTATTCTTCCCTGCCACTGTAGGGATTGAGGAAAACACTACCTGTGCTCCTGATCCTTCAACCAGTTGCCCCAGTGCCCTGAAGTCCCTTTTGATCACTGCAGGACTTCTCTCTGGAACCTGATTTAATCCCAAAATTTGTAAAAATCTCCTGACCTTCACAATGCTATTTTTACTTCAGAACTGTTTTTTCAAGTAAATTTGACATTTGATACTTGAATTCTTTCAATTCAAAGCCAACTTCAATAGTTGATACAAAGTAATAGCTGCTAAATTTTATGAGTAATCTCATAAACCAAAAAGCCATAAACAAAATATTAGGGAACAATTTTCCCTGTTTCACTCCACCTCCTTTCTAAAGAAGAAACCATAATCAGCATGGATAGGAAGATGTGCTTACGTATGTCAGAATGTGCAGGACAACTTATGACAAAGGTTTTTATAAGCAGTATAAGCAAGTGGATTTGAGGGAGTCTGGAAACGTATACTTGTTTTCTGAGTAGCAGCTCATTATTGACAGGTTTGAAATTATCTACATCCCATGATATTACATAAAACAAAATTCAGTCAGAAAATTCACTTAAAGTTTCTTACCTCTCCATTTTCCACCACAGCCATAGAGCACATCTGTCCACAAGCTATATTAACTACTATTTTATTTTGTAGGCAGCTGGTAACTCTTCGAGGAATTGGTTGATTAGCTGTTGAACCAGATCCAACTTGGCCTGAGTTATTATAACCCCACGTGTATACCTGTTGCAAGAAAATTGTCATAAAAGAAGGCTATATAACATACAGTTCAAAGTACATATTCAAGAGAGAAAAAAGTTATATGCATAAAAAATTACATTTTGAGTTCAAGTGGATGTATTCTTTTAAAGATCTAGGCAGATACATAGGTTTACAATTTAATTGTTTCTATCAAAAATATGCCACTCATAATATTTACATATTCCATTCTTTTACGTTCCTCCAATCAAAGGTAAGAGGCAACATGACAGTTGCATTAATGCTGGAAGAATTCACTGCTAGTTTTTCAGAACCCAAAGTAGAATGGCTAACTGGACACAAATGGCACCTCAAAGTAAATGACAGAAAACATTTTACTTTGGTGGGTAGAACTCCTTACATGAACATGATTTATATTAATACCGGCTTTAACACCATTAAGCATTTACAGTAGAGTATAGCATAGGAAGGAACTGGCTGCCCTCTAGAAAGAAATTATAATTTCTTATTACAAGCAGATATGGTACAAAAATCAATGTTCTGCATGCACTTCAAAGCAGTTGGACCCTAACAGGTTTTCCATTTTTATGAAACATTTGCATTGCATCAGCACTGTGAGGATAGCAAGAAGAAAGGTCTAATGCTCTAGCTGCAGAATGTTTTCCTGTTTCTCACATAAGTGAATTTCATTAAGAGAAAAGAAAGATTTATTTCAGCTATTCTCACCTCTCCATCAGATGTTAACACCATAGAATGATGAGAGCCACAGGCAACTTCAATGACTTTCTTGTTCACCAAGTTAGTAGAGACTTGACAGGGAACGAAACCATGATTTGTTGTACCATTGCCCAACTGACTATAAGCATTGTGACCCCACGTATACACTTCTCCTTCTATAATAAAAATGTAAAAAGCTGGTTTAAAGTCTCTGTTTTTCCAATGAGTACACAACACAAAATTACAAACTGAAAAGTCAAATTCAGTAACAATATACATATTTAAGTGTGTATAAACATATATGCCCTTTGGGGCTCTTAAGCCTATGGACATACCAATGCTACCTTCACATAGTGTTGATCAAAAGGATAGTACCACCATAATCTTGGTAAAGAAAATCACGTAGCTAAAAGAAAGGACATAGTGCAATGCAGAAAAGAAAAGGATGAAATGACAGTCAGGAGTCCCCATTTCAATTTCTTTGTTACTGACAATCAATCAAAATTTCTTGTCTATGCCTTGGCACTGTTTCCCACTTTGGAAAATTCAAATAACAAGCTTTCATTCCTTTACAGTATACATGAAGATGCTTGTAAGAAAAACTCATTATTACTTATTAATAAACATACTATTATTTACTTATTATTTAAACATACTATTCATGTCCTGTATTTTGAGAAACATGCTAGTAAAATTAAGAATGCAAGAAATGTCTGACTGGTTTAGACTGATGGTCCACCTAGTGCAAAATTCTGTCTCCAGTGGGCAATAGAAAAAAGCTGCTCTTTAAGGGAAACATGAGCCTGGTCACTTTTTGCAGTTCCCAAGCATTTACAATCGCTAGAGTACAGATATTACCAGGTACTTTTGATTCTCTTTAATGTACATATATTGGCCCATTATCCATGAAGCTAACACCCTTTCATACTCACTTTCTTTCATCTGTTTTAAATCAAGTGTCCTCTAGTTACAGTAGTGCAGGACTTGAAAAATAGCTGTCCTACATTCATCTGGTCTATCATCATCATCATTTGCTAAACCTAAATTACACCATTATTGCAGGAGAGCTAGGTTTGACATACAACTCCATCAGATTTCTAAAAATATCACCAAACTCCTTACCCCTAAGAAGGGCTCCCTTAGAACTACAAAGGCAAAATGTGCTACACTAAACCAGTATTTCTCTACAATAACAGGTTAAATATAATTACTTTAACCTGTCAAAAGCAAACAACCTTCTCTTCCTTTCACCAACATGAGAATACAAATTTCAGTAAACAGGTGAAACAGCCACAGAGAAACATACAATATAAACTGGAAATGATAGTAATTAACACAAGTATTGTGAAATATGTAAGGGCTGTCTGAAAGGTAGGTTAAAAGAGGCTGTGCTGAATGGAAGTTATTCATGCAAATGAAATTATAAGCAAAAATCATTAAGGATCAGTGCTGGACCTGTTCTTTTGCAATACTTCAGTTCATGTGTATGGAGTATGAGTGTGTCAGTGAGATCTGCCAGCAACAAAGCTCAGAAGAATACAGATACATATATAAAAAGCATCCAGAATGGTTTACCCTGAAGACTGGAGAAAGTGGTGGAATGTAATTGAATATAAAGAACAGTCACACATTTACAATACAATTCCCCTCATCTACCCTTAGTCATCTAATCTAGACCACTCAAAAAGATTTCATCTCATTAATGGAGAAAGAGAGACAAACTTTAACATCATCAATCAGGCTCTAACAGAACCTCACTGGGAACATGATATTAGTCATTTGTCTTCAAGAATAACGTACTTGATTATGAACAGAAGGGCCACTAGCATGATGTGGATAATAGAGTGTCAATGAGACAACAGAAAACAAAAGTCTGAGAGGCAATGTAACTGGTCTTTAAAGCATATCCAAAAGTAGGTACAGGAGGCAAAAGATGCATTTTAGCTAAATGTTGGCACAAGAACATATGGGTATAATGTAGCCACTAATGCATTTCAAAAGCAATCAGAAGTTCAAAACTTCACTGCAAAGTAAAAAAAAAAAACTTCCAGAAGTAGTAACAAGATCAAAGCAGAGCTTGAAAAACTTTTGAAAAGAACTAGCTATGAACAGAGCTAGCTGACATGTCATGTTCACCAATGAAAATACGTTGGACTTGACAGCACAGAATGTCTATCCCAATTCCTCTCTTACGTTACCAGCACAGAACTTTCACACCTGCTGGACTAATTAAAGTGGATGTATCTGAAAAAGCAGTATTCAGATCATACTTTACCTTCTGTAGCAAGTACAACATGAGGGCCACTTCCATAACTCAGACAGGCTATCTTTTTGCCACATAGAGAATCTAACCTCCTTGGTTCAATAGTGCTCTGCATGTCACCTGTTCCCAAACACCCGCTGCAGTTCATGCCAAGCACAAAAACCTGTTATAAAAGAATCACAGAATCATAATTTAGGTTGGAATGGAGGACCTCCAAAGGTCAACTAGTCCAACCCCCTGATCAACAAGGATCTAAATAGATCAGTTGACTCAAGGCCATGTCCAGCCAAATCTTGAACACCTCCAAGGAAAAGATCTCACAACCTCTCCAGGATTTAACCACTCTCATCGTCATTTTTTTTCCTAATACTGAATCAGTATCTTCCATCTTCCACTTTGTGTCCATTGCCTCTCACCCTGTCACCATGCACCTCCAAGAAATGTCTAACTCCATCTTCTCTTTATCCTCTAATTGTGGTAGGAAGCCATTAATTTGAATTGAAAATGTTTTAGTAGCAATCCAAATGATCAGGCATTTTTGCATGCAACTTTTTCTAGGTATACTATCATAGTACTGGCTTTCAGAATGACTTGATACATAAATGACTAAATATGTCATGTTCATACACACTGTTGGACAATTACCTCGTCATTTTCAGTTGCATACAACACTTCATTACCAGCACTGCCAAATACACAGGCTTGACGAATTAATTTGAGCTCCTCTTGGGAACAGAGAGAAAAAATTGGCCATTTCCCAACATCCAGCATCTTCAGGGCTGACAATAATGTTGCCTCCAAGACCTGATATTATAAAAAATGATATCAAATACCTAGACAAAGAGAAATGCATACCTTTGCACAGTAAAAAAGGATAAATTTAGAGAAACACCACCATCTCCTTTCTCAACCACAAATCAGTATTTTAATTCTAGAACAACACTTGGAGGGAAGCCATTAAAATAAACAAATAAACTATATCGTGATCCGGAAAGAAAGGATCTATATGCATGGAGAAAAGTATCATATAAGAAGTTAAATGGTGAGATCGTATTTTCACTATATTCATACAACATAACTGCTAACTTATATAATTCAATAAAGAGGATTCTAATACAAAGTGTAAAGTATACATTCAAAACTTGAAAATAATTTGTGTCTTTTCCTCTGGTGCTAAAATTACTGTTAAAAGAAGAAACCATAAAAAATCTGCCCAAGAATATACTTATCTTTGAAAAATATACACATTTGTTTTCATGCATTGAAAATGGAAACTTGAGAAAAGTTGAGAAAATTTTTACTTTCTCCTTTACTTCTGAAATTTACTTCTGTGTTTCAACAATTATTGAATCTTTGGGACTTCCTAAAAATATTTGCATTTATATAAATAGACATATAATAAAAGAAAAAAAGATAATTGAGCATTTTCCATCTTAGCGAAGGACAAATGACAAGTTTATAGTTAAAGGAAAAGAAAAACAGATATCTCTCCAAACATTAAAACTAGTCAAGCTAATGTCTGAATCTCATGCAATATTTCTACTGCTTTAGTATAGCATGAATCAGAAAAATGTTGCAGTATCAAAATTTAATAGGAAATTTTGCATGCAGCATGCACCAAATTTTCTTTACTGAAATTAAAACAGGCTCTGGACATGAAAGAAAAGCAGCATTACTTGCCAGATCAGAAGGTAAGCAAGAACAGATTTTGCCTATCACAGGCATTATGTAGTTCACCACGTAACAGTGAGGAATGCATCATTAGTTTATTTCTAGCAAGTAGCAGACTTACAAAATGATCTGCTATAGAATATAATTTTTCATACCTCTGACTGAAATAAAGATGCAAATAAATTCTAGTTGGGAGTCTGAAGCATGTTATGTCAGTCATAAGGATATTGCTTTTTTGATTAGTATCACTTACTATGAAAAAATGTACACAGAAACCTAGATAATGTTTGAAACTAAAGATATGATCCTTAAATTAATCCTGAATTAAAATCTTTACACAAATAGCAGTTAATCACACATTTCTTTATAGTATACTTCTGAGGAAGGAAAAGGAGGGTTGGCCATCTTCCCTAAAGAAAAGCTGTGGTTTTGATCACACTAGTTCTTTCCCCATCTCCTCACACCAAATAACTGACCAATTTCAGCCAAATTTGCAAGTGAAAGGGAAGTAAGATTCTGCTGACACAATCCATTTGGCAGTAGGCAGCTGGACAATCAGACATGTATGTTATGAAATAAGTCAGCAAGCAAGTAGGTCCACACTAGTCCTAGCAAATGCTGTCCTCCATGACACATAGCAGGGTTGTAATGGATGAAGGACATGCATCTGTATGGAATTGGATCATCCATCTGCTGTTCACAGAACAATTTGTTTTATGTCAAGAAGTTAGCATTAATTCTAAGGAGGATTTTGGGCACTTTTAAAATATGACAATGAATACTGAAAGCATCACAGACTAGTCTTCCAATTGCATCAACAAAACTACATCCCACTTTTGCTCAAGACTGATGGAGCCTGAGGTTCAAAAGGACAGTCAGGATGCCCTTCAATTGCACAGATTCCCTTACTGGAATAACATACTCGTTTCTTTAAAATGTGGGCTCTAAATTCCAAGCGCACAGTGGGTCAGAACGCATTCATCTTAAATAGAACAGGTTTTTTTCTGTAACCTCCTTCTACAAAGGACTCATGTTTTACCCTCATAATTAACAGGTTAAAAAAACCCAAACTGTAGCATTTCTTAACATTAAAATAATACACTGAAGGAAAAAAATCCACTATTATAAAAAGCACCCTAGGAAACACTTATGATACTGGTGTTTTGTTTTTTTTTTTTACAATAGAAATAACAACAAACTTTATCAGACTAAAAAATACCCATAATCTAAATCCTGTCTCTGGAATTATTACATTCAACTCAGTAAGAGATATTCTCTCACCTTTCAAGATTTTCTCCTCTCCCACACCTCTCCATTATATTTTGTCCCAAAAATACAAAAACCAGCTTGAACTATCAGCCTGCCAATATTTATGTCCCATAAGTGATCAGTTCCCTCATTATGTTGCACAAAGTCATGAAAGACAGAGTCTTTCTGGTCTACCAGAATTTGAGATTTCATATGGTCCAGCTACCTATCCCAAAGGTGTACCAGTTATGCCTCAAGAATTCCTAAAACTTCTACACTTCATTTGACCTCAGCAATCAGTTTGAAAGCTGGTTATTCAGTTTTATTTGTCTTACAGATCACCTTAAAAGGCATCATCATTAAGCTCAAAATCGGTATGATGTTTCATTAAGTTTTACATGCAGAGCATTCAAAGCAAATAGAAGAGAAAAATGGGAGGAAGTTTTTACATCAAATTATGCTACAAAAGTTAATTCTAACAAGTTTATGTTGTTGAAACATTAGGCTGGAACATGTAACTTTAGAACTTAATATTAAATTAAACCAGCCTTGTAAGCCAAAGGAGCAATTCAACCTAGTTAAAATGAATATCTTGTTCTTCTAATATTTTGTGGATCACATAAGCAACATTTCTTTCGCTAGGATCATTTTCCTACCTATAGTTTTGGTTTTTTGTTTATTTTGAAAGCTACTAGCATGTACTAAGCTACTGATAAATGGAACCAAGCTTCTTCCTTTTGAGTAGAGCAGTACGGAATTCTCAACACAAATTCACACTCTGACCTTGACACTGACTCCTTGAGAAGGAGGAGATTCATCCTCCATATGGATTTGTGCTTGTGTCCCCCTGCAGAGAGAGAACTGTGGTTAAAATCACCATATCATATTGCTGCAGCAATACTTTATGGAAGTATACACACTTAATATTAAGCCAGAACTATTTGCTTCTGTGGGGTGAGAAAACAAGAAACATGAAGCTCAGTCAATTTTGTTTTTATATTCAACTGTACAGTGATCAGTTAGACAGACTCTGCTCTTCTGTATTCTTACCTAAACAAATAATTCTTGGACAAAACATTTTTGGAAAACAAGTAGTAAAATTAATCATACTGTGATTGGAAAGGAAGAAGTTTTATTAAACACAATACTCCAATGTCTTTTTATTGCAGCAAAAATAAATTTAGAACCTTGCTGATGTAATTTTTCAAGACATTTCTTTCAGCAAAGAAAAAGTACACTGGTTGGAGCTTTCCATTTCTGGCTTAGGTCTTCAAATATTCCAGTTCCATTCTGAAAACCAATGTTAGAAAAACATTTGGATCTTTTCAGGTTTACTGAGAATTCTTAAAATATTCACTGTTTCAGAAAATACTGCCAGCCCTGTAAATGACTTGTATAATTTCTATGACATGCATCATCAATAGAAACAGATTTTCAGACCAGATGTTTCTTCCCAAATAAATAGGCACAAATCTACTATCCTTGAATTATTTCCATATTAACATATTAATTACTATTTCCATATTACTTACCTAAACAAATAATTCTTGGACAAAACATTTTTTGAAAACAAGTAGTAAAATTAATCATACTGTGATTGGAAAGGAAGAAGTTTTATTAAACACAATACTCCAATGTCTTTTTATTGCAGCAAAAATAAATTTTGCTGATTGCTGATGTAATTTTTCAAGACATTTCTTTCAGCAAAGAAAAAGTACACTGCTTTCCATTTTCCATTTCTGGCTTAGGTCTTCAAATATTCCAGTTCCATTCTGAAAACCAATGTTAGAAAAACATTTGGATCTTTTCAGGTTTACTGAGAATTCTTAAAATATTCACTGTTTCAGAAAATACTGCCAGCCCTGTAAATGACTTGTATAATTTCTATGACATGCATCATCAATAGAAACAGATTTTCAGACCAGATGTTTCTTCCCAAATAAATAGGCACAAATCTACTATCCTTGAATTATTTCCATATTAACATATTAATTACTATTTCCATATTAACATATGAATTATGTCCAATATTAGCATAAAGCCATGCAACTCCATTTTTAGTAAAATTGCAAAAATGAGTAAGCAGCTCTGAAGCTGTGCAAGTTTCTTCTACTCAACAAGTGAGAAAGTTGTACACATAATTTTCTTTGAGGTACGCTGGTTCAGCCAATGCTAAACATCTGTTCACTTCTCACTGAAAATTAAATGTCTGTAAAATTCTGACTACAGGCAGAACAACATCCAACAAACAAGAATTTACCATTTTACTTAGTTACTCTTCAGAGGCATACCACACTTCAAAAGAATTATCAAATGTAGCTTTATAAAACTACCTAACTTACTACTAAACATGTCTGTTATGTAAGACTTCGTGCCATAAGACCTAGGCCAAGGACACAGAATACATGAAATTAATATGATTTAAATATTATAAATGCTAATGATTTAACAAATATGATTTAATTTACTGACTAAACAAAAATTCTTTTTATTTACTTGAAACAAATAAAAAACCAAACAATTGCTGCAGATCAACTATACTGAATATGCACACTGTTAAGCTTATGCTTTAACAAAACTCACAAATCTACATACACACAGTGTATTTTATACATTTAGTTTGAGACATTAAATGATAAATTCAGCTCGTGTGAAAGTCCGGCTACTTTCTTGTCCATGTTGACTGTAAGCTTAAGGCTCAAACACACAACCAAGCTGAAATAACTTGAAGCTAAGTCATATTCCCTTTCAACTAGGGAAGACTAAAGGGCTGATTCAGTTGCCCACACATTAACACCTACTGCTATTTGAGATGACCTTGGGGATCCCCGACACCAAACGGGGCTGGCAGATATCGTACAGGACTTATAGGGTATCCATGCCATGCTGGAGCAGAAGCTAAGAACTAAACGGCACTAGACAGTTACGCATGTGCAGCTGAAGAGGCCTGAATAAGTACACATGGCCATTTACCAAGCCTTGCAACTTAATGGGTACAGGGTAACTTGTTAAGCTCTTGCTGCTAAGTGATTCGTTATTTTCTTATTTTTTCAACATACTTGTTCAAACAAGAATGCAACCCGTTGATTTTGTGTACATGATCTCTATTTAAACTAGAAACAACTCACCTAATTAAGGCCTTTGGCACTACCACAGCCTGAGCAGGACTATATTACCGAACTGCGATTCTGAAACATTTAATTTCAAGTATGTGAGTAGTCCTACTGTGACACTGAACATCAAGGCTATCCAGTATTTTGCAGCATCAATTTCCAGCACTCCCTAGCAATGCTGATATATGTTACCCACTTCTTGGCCATCTTTAGCCTACATTCAGCCCACAGGCCTGACATGTTCCCCAAGAGAATAACTATTAACTATGAATTTTCTAATTTAAATAAATGCAGAATTCTGTATTTCCTTCCTCAAGCCATTTGATACATAACTGATATTCAGGATTCTTCAAGTTCTAATATTTCAATTCAATTGCTTCTGTTTAGACAAAAGCATAGTTTGACCTGAAAAGCAGTTTGTTAGTATAAAGAAAGATACGTTAGGATGGACCGTTTCAGATACCTAACAAAAGGTTCTCCAGCCCACTACTATTTCAAAGTCCCACAAACATGCTGACAGTTTGCACTAACTTTTCAAGAACAAAGATCACTTCCATGTCCTCACAAGTCAAAAGTTATAACTGTTTTATCTTACATATAACTAAGAGAAAATTACCCTGCAACTCCATTCTTCAAGCTGTTCTGCAAACACAGACACCTTATTTCTGAGCAGCCCTATAGGAGTACATGGGATGGCTCAGATTACACCAGTTTATTCTTTTATTCAAATTAATGTATTCTAATAAAAGTACATACTGAGTGCCACATGTCTTTCTAAAAACCTGTAATTGATTTAAGAGTACATATTCACCCTGGGATCCTGAAAATAAAGACAAAAAAAATATTATTAAGCCTGCCTAAGAATTATTAAGCCTGTTTAAGAATCATTCTTATCTGTATACCTTTAAAAAACTAGTGATGATTCATATTTGCCTACTCGTAGGAATTTTCCCTCCAGAAAAAGAACCATTGTATATACAGAGTGAAGCAAAGAAAAGACAGTATTTTCATCAAAAATTAAAAGATAAAAAACTGTATATCTGAGTACTTCAGGTACAGAAGAAAAACATACCTTAGCTATTTCAGACAAGTTATTGGGGTTGTTCATCGACTAAATCTTATAATATGCATATAATTGCTAAGAAACTTTACTTTAAAATAGCTACCCACTACATTTAAAAAAAAAATTCAATACTTACTTTAGAAAATAAAAATGTAAGCAAGAAATACTTCTCATGTATTAAAACTTTATATACATTTCCACTAGCTGTGTTTCAAAAAAAATTCTGAAGTGCAGATCTAAAGGAGAAAATTTCATTGTTGTAAACATCCATTTCTTGAGGAAGTGCACAGCCTACCCACTACATTTAAAAAAAAAATTCAATACTTACTTTAGAAAATAAAAATGTAAGCAAGAAATACTTCTCATGTATTAAAACTTTATATACATTTCCACTAGCTGTGTTTCAAAAAAAATTCTGAAGTGCAGATCTAAAGGAGAAAATTTCATTGTTGTAAACATCCATTTCTTGAGGAAGTGCACAGCATTTTAATACAAAAATATTTATATTAAACTTTCACAAATCTCTTATCTGGAATCCAAGTGCAATTTAAGAATCTGGACAGCATACTCTGGCAGTCTGAGTTTAGGTCTTGGAATTTGAAAGTTCTGACCTTGGTTCCACTCCAACCATGATAGGTCTTTGGGTAAGGCACATATGCTTCTGTGGTACAGGTAAGATTGAGTTAAGGAACACAAATACAGCCAAGTTCTATTAGCAGTCTAAGACCATTTAATCCTAAATATTTAAACAGGTTCACTGACTCATTTGAATGTAAACATTCTTGTAGATTCTCTCTCTAGGAACTTAGCAAGCAAACAAAAATTTTCAGAACTCCACTTAGTATTTCCTCCCACTTAATTTGAGCATTTATGAACCTCAACTACTGAATCAAAGGTCTGTCTGGAGCTTCTTCCCCATGGACTCTAACCACAGGCGTAGGAAAGATTAGGAGGAAAAAGTCACAGAAAAATGGGACTTGCTGACATCTTTAGGAAAGGAACCTAACCTTCTCTGATATTCTTGATTTCTCAGCAGTTTCCTACCGGAGTAGTCATGAAATGATGCTAACTTGTCCAAGCGATCTTGCAGGAGAGAACAGACCAGTAATATTGTCAGTTATTCCTAATGAACAGGTCACATTCCCTTTCTAGGAACAGATCAGTCTATTTTCAAAATTATTTTTCTTCTTCATGTCCAAACAGTGAAATATTACTACTCCACCCAGTGCTGACAATAAACTGACAGAACTCAGCTTGTCATTCATTATTCCATTGATGCAGCATTTTCCATTACCAAGAAATTGCAGACCTTGAGAAACAGTAAGTGATTGTTTGAAAAACTGCTATCTCCAACTAAAGCATAGTCTTCTCTTGTTCCCTTCTTGCTTCTTGACACCAGACTGTGACTTCTCGGCTCCTGATGCAAGCTCCATTGGCTGCCTACTAATTGCAAGAGCAAATCTACATGCAGTTTAGAGGCTAGATCCAAGAAACTCTGAAAGACTGGAGCATTTACAGTCTGAAAGACTGACATCCTTGACCTTGCAAAGTAGGTAACTGCTACAGAAATTTCTAATGGAAATTATCTGAGATAAGACAGCTTTATTGTCTCAGTCTCCAGAGAAAAAACTTTAGCCAAAAACATCTTGTCAGACGGCACCTCTCTTTTGG